ACCTTCTTAGAAATCCGTTAGCACAATTGTTTCACAAGAAATAAGTTGTTTTCTGATTCAAGATATACACTTAGAAGCGTGTCCTCTCATTTGCGAGCGTAAAATCGAAATTAAAAATCTGTTAAATTCAATTTCACTTGTTTTTTAAATTTAAATTATTCAAATTTCAAATGATCTTAGGTCTAAAATTTTCGGTTTTCAAATTTCAAAAAAGCTTACTGATAACAATTTTAAAACAAATTCAAATTTTAGTTATATTTTTATACTTGTTGAAATTTATAGAGTTCGCTAAAGATTGAGTTTTATTATTTCAATTTAACGACCTGCAATTTGTAGAAAGCGCTAAACTACAATAGTGGTTCTATTCTTTGTACTGACTGAAATTTATAGAGTTCACTAGATATTGAGTTTAACTATTTTAATTTGATGACCTGTAATTTCTAGAGTGTGCTAGAATATAGTAGTGCTTTTCGTATTCTTAAGGGGGACCCCCTCCCCCTCAGAAAATCGATTTTTTTCAGAAAAATCGATTTTTAGATAAGCACATATACTGGAAGCCCAAAGTGTCCTCTTTCAGATTATGTATGATTTGTTGCATTTTGAATGGTTTTGAGTGGTGAAAATAGCGGTTTTCTGGAAGCATTGGTAGAAATATAAGGTTTTATCAGAAATTATTTTAGTTAGGGAGATGTGGCAGTGGTCAACAAACTTGTAGATTTTGGTTAAAGAAAAACACATATACGTTCTGCTATATTAATTAATTAGAGGAACGTAGTCATTTCTGCTTAAAATCCTGTATACTTGATGAAATTGCCGTATAGAGATCGTGACAGCCATAGTGAAATTAAAAATTGTTTCATACAAACTCGTTGATTGGTTTTCTCAAAATCACTTTTTTGGAGAGCTCGGAACCGATTTCTCAGACTGTAGAAGAGCTAGTGAGCCACTGTCTTTTTTAAATAAAAGAAAAGACCTATGTCTAGAAATGTATATAGCGTTTTTTTCGAAATTCGATATCTTTGCAGAGATAACTGGAAAACACTGATGTCAAAAAGCGCTATATTCCGAGTTATTGCAGGAAAATGTCTCGCTAATTCGAATAAAATTGAATTTCGAAAAAAACGCTATATACATTTCTAGATTCAGATCTTCTCTTTTATTTAAAACAAGAGGTAGCTCTCTGCCTCTTCGACAGCCCCAGAAATCGGTACCTTACGAAGACCACCATTTTGGGGACTAATTTGTCAATAACTCATTAAAACAAGAATTTTATGAGTCAAAAATTTGCAAGAAATTTAGTTAACGCAACACACATATTGTCTGAAAATTTCAGCCAAATCAGTCCACGAATAACAAAAAGCGATTCTTGAGGGGGGGACGGGTCCCCCTTAATTGACTGCAATTTATAGAGTTCGTCAGACATAATTGTTACTATGAATGTTATCAGCTGTTTTTGATTCTGAACAGATAATATAATTATAATAGTAAAATGAAATCAAACATTGAATGGAAATCACTGATTGGGATGTAAAAGCATTTATAGACAAAAGTTATAAATACAAATAATGATGTTCTAAAAAACACGGCTCAGAAATATAGATGTTAATAAGCGTCTTCCCTTGATGAACACAGTCCGATTCGCCCACACCATAGTCGGAACAAATATCAAATTATCACAACAAGTTATGATACAATCTCCTTAAAAATTCGTTTTATCTTTAACTGAAAACGTTCTTAGTTCAGCCCAAATCGACGACCCTTGCTCGTGCACTATGATTATTAGTTTATCAATAACAAAAGAAAAAAACCAGCTAGTACATTCTAATTTTTGACTTTCATTAAAATTCTTCAGAGCTAGATTCAAAGGAAAATTTTAATTCAACTAAAATCTAACGTCCTGTACAAATTTCAGACAGAGTATACTAAATTAAAAAAATTTCTTTCATCAAAAACTTACGTCCTCTACAAATTGCAGTAAATATCAAAAATTCTCTGTTATCAGAAACTTGCGTCCTCTACAAAGTACAGTAACTATCTCTGTCTGAAAAGGTTTTATTATCAAAAAACTAATGACCCCTACAAATTACAGCATGCTTGGTAAAAAAAAAATAAATTTTTATAAAATCTTTTAAAACAATTTACTTTCAACATTCGTTCGTAGTAATCGAATTTTTAAAAGTTAAATATAGATATTAATCGTTTTACAAAAAGTTGATAAAATTATCAAATTTGAATCCAACGAAATTTTAAAAATTTTAATTTACTTAATATTTATTTTCTTTATATTCGCACATGAGAGATAGCCCTTAGAAGTTCATAACGTGTATTCGGGTAGAAAATAGAACAGAGATCATTATCGTTTGAAACTTTTTGTGTGATGTTCTTTTCTAACTTTGTGAGTGCTATCAATGTACACAATTAATTCTAGTTCTCCAAGAAATAGGGAAGAAAGCGCCATATACAAATTCATCAGATACATACTTTCTACAGAATTTGTCCAATGTCTTCTTGATAAAGGATAGTATACAGATCTTTTTCAAATGAATATTCTTACCATTTTGTAGTTCTTTGTGAATGCTATTGGCTCACAAAAATGACTCTAGCTCTAAGGAAAATAGTTGAGAATGTAGGTCATTGACGCTCGACCGACAAGTAGTCATATACTTTCATCTTTATCGAAACTTATATAGAGTAGAAACTGAAGTGAAAAAGCTGAGACTTACAAAACTTACTAGCACTCACAAAATCTACAAATGTTAAAAGTTTTAGGTGGATTGGACGTATGTTTTCTAATCAGGCTAAATTGGCCTGAAGATGTCCGTCGTTCGTTATTTGTTCGGCAGTAGAGAATCAAGAAACCTTGTGTTTAATAACAGAACGGAATAGATCTCTTGAAACCAATTAGAATTAGAGAATCAAGGAATTAGCCGTTTCTCATGGTACTGTGTTGTTGAATGTAAACATGATTATCAATATCATTGATTGTTCGTCGAAAATGATCGAAATAAACCATGTTTTGAAAATTTTTACATTTGTTGGTGTCTTCAGAATTCTTCAGCTGATAAAAATTCACTATCTAGTATTGGAATATTTGTTTGATGCACACCCGTGTAACTAAAGACTTTTACGGTTGAAACGAATTGAGACATTAGCATGGGATAGATAATTTGTTGTGGGCTAGCTCTCCTTCAGTAGAAAAGCGACTTTCTCGACACTTCATTTGGCTCAGTCATAATAATTCAATGAAATATTTTCTTCTTATTTAAATCTGTCCTCATCTTTCAAGTTTTTGTAGCTTTACTCTCTCCTTTATGTGCCGACTTTGACAACAATATCTAATTGATTATTTGTTTATTCAAAAATTTGAAGCAACGAATAACGCACATATATTACTAACCAATGATGATGACGTACAACAACAAAACTCTGCTTGAGTTGACACATGCACGAGAGATAAAAAAGAAAAATGAGACTTGAATAATAGAAAGTGATAAGCAATTAACATATATGTATATACCAAAAGAAACGATTAGCATGGCGAAGAAGAGAAAAGGAATGATAGATATAATCAATTTAAATGTTAAATGAAGAGAGAAAGGAGTGAGGGAGAAAGAGATAGAAGAGAAAACTATCATGGAGGCATATGTGATGCTGATTATCGTCATACTAACATTTCGAAATTGTCTTTTTAGTATTTACTAAATGTCTTTGATTAATAGGAGTAATAATCTTAATATTAGCCAGAGGGGCATGGAGGTTGTAGAACATTTTGAGCGAATTGATTCAAATAATTGCCAGCAGGATAATAATTGGCAACAACATAACATTGTGTGTTATTTGATATACAACAGATGGAAATGCCACAAACAGTTGTAGATTGCCAGACCAATTGAGTAAAGTGTCCAGTCGAAGCTGAGAAACCAGGAGATGAAAAGTTATAATAGACAGACTCGTTATACCAAGAAGTGACTGGCCATGACCCTAAAACAATAAATATATAGTTATGAACTCTCTTTATGCTGCGTTTACCGTTTATTGAATTAATATTTATGGGAACTGATGACCAGATAGACCACAGGTTTTCACCTAACGGTTGCCCCTGATAGGTGTTACCACTGTGTACCATCCTATTTATACTGCACAAATACTGAGAATAATTTCTGGCAATTGCTGTCACATTTGGATCGATAGTCAAAGGGGCAACACAATAATTTGCTCGATCTATATTCGTCTGTGTCATTGCTTGTTGTTCGAATAGACTGTTTGTAGATGAAGTTGTAGTTGAAGAGTTATTTATTGCTATTGTTGTTACGGCTGCTGTTGTTGCTGCTGCTGTTGTTGCGGCTTTTGTTGTTGCGGCTTTTGTTGTTGCGGCTTTTGTTGTGGCTTTGACGGCTCGTCGTATTCGAACAATTTTTAGCAATGTTGGATCATTGACTGTTTCCGTTGGTATTGTTTTTCTTGATGATGCTGCTAGTAACGATGGAACTAAAAGAACATCAAATAATGACAGATGTATTTTTTCAGGCATTGGTACTTTTAAAGTACATTAGGATAGATTCATTTTGAAGCCGCATCGCTACTTATGGTAACGATTGGATAAACATGAGGCGGATCCCAAACGGCTATGAGCCATCACAGGATTCATCCACTATCGTGTGGATGAGAGTTTGTTCAGATATTAGTTAAAAAGTAATGTTTCCTACTTCCATAAATGAAAGCAAATGTATGTTTTCATGTTGAATATCGTTCTTTTTTTCAGCAACAACCGCAATTTTCGAATCATTTCACAACAAAAAATTTAGCAGTCTGTCGAAGGTTTCCAGCATTAGAAGATAGAAATTCAACTGAATTTATACATGTGGAGTAGAAAAAAGTAAATTTTTTAGGCTTATGAGTTTCTTGACCTAGAGTTTCTAGGAAAGTATAAAAATCGAAAATCAAAAAATTGTTGGTCGTGTATCGAAGGCTCTCCTAAGTTTTGTGAAACTCACACATATTTTAGAAGAAAATAGTGAGTATAAGTTTCAAGTCAATGTTTGGAAGCTCTTCCTCTCCATTACAACAGATGTCTTCCCTCACAAACCTCAATAATTATGGTGAAATATGCTCAACGGAATTCTTTGATGGAAATAAAGAGTATAATTGGATGCTTTTGTTGATACTATTGTCGATTTTATTGACGCAGGCAACAATAAAAGATTTTCATAACAAAAAATTATGATTGAAATTCAAAGATCATAAAAAGCAGTAAACAAAAGAAAAATAGGGAAGCAATAAAATTACCGATATGGAAGTCGCTAATGGTGAAAAATATTTCATGTATAAAAATGGATTTTGAAACAGGAGCTATGTGATAGGGGATATGTGAGTTTCACAGTGTAGCTCCACAGGGATTGCACTAATAAGCGTTTTCGTTTAAAATTTAAATTAAGTCTTAAATTAGACATTTTAAGCTTGCTTATCTGAAGATTTTTGAGGTCGATTGAACTTCCGGTTATCATAGATTATTTTAGACGGTCCTTATGTCATACTAAGTATTTATCACTTGTGAAAATCATACAACAACTATCGAAGACTGCTTTATCCATCACGTCACGTACAGATACAGGATGAATTTATGAGAGTTTCTGCCACTTCTGAAAAATTCTTTTTCGATTTTCACTATTCAGTTAACTAAATTGTCGTCCAGAACTGTGTATAGACATGAAGAGATTTTTGCACTACAGCTTTGAAAATCTAGTTGTTCATTAGAAATATCTACGTTTGGTGTGGTTGTCTGGAACTCTTTGTAGCTTTTTCTTTTGGCGTAACTCACTCACAGACGATAACTTTTATATAAGTGCCTTTCAAAACAAAATCTGTAGTCACAAAATGAATTTCTTCTCTCGGAATATAGAAAACTATGAGTATTGAAGGTATCCATATCGGTGAGAGACACAAGTGAAAAATAGCTTTCGTCCGTGATTTGTTGGTTATGAAAAACTACAAAATATGATAACCATCTATGCCTAAGCACCATCGAAAAAGTTTATACGATACTTCACAGACGCTCAAAATTCAGATGGTTTCAAGGAATGGCTTAAATCTCAAAGCTTTAACTAGAATTTTTTTCTTTAAGGTTACATACGGTTTTTGACAATATTGTAATTAGCCAGATAGTCAAAACTGAAAAGAAATATCTTTGAGAAAAACGTGAATGATTTTAGTTAAGTTCCAAATTCTAGTAGAGATCTGGTGGATTCGTAGTATACTCAAGCATAGATCAAAATATATATTTGGAATTCATACAAAGTTTCTTAAGCATCTCTGAGACGGTCGAGTCATTAAGACTATTACTCGATTCCATTGCTAGTTTCTCAATAAAATAACTGCTCACAAATATGACAGTATGAATCTGACTGAAATGTCTTCTTCTCTAATTAAGGATGAATAACTTAACAAAACTTAGCTTAAGGATGAAGGTTTAAATGAAAAGCTTAAACTTTAAACTAAGTGTAAGCTCGCTCACAAAAGAAACTTAAAGTGATTTCTAAATTTAAGTCGGAAAGTTAAATTTATTTTAAAGTGCAGCTAAAATTTACACATCTAATCTCTAGCTTTAAGGTTTAATCCAGAACTATTATTTTTATTAATATAACCCGATGCTGAACACCATAGTGATCAATATTGATTTTCAAAATGAATACTAGAATCGAACAATTAGCAACCATAGTCACTACTGCTTACCATTATTGATGTTTTTTTCGGGTGTTACAATTACCATCGTCACGGGATTGTTTGCTCGAGATGAGTAAAAAAGAACCATCGCAACGATAATCAATGTAATAGCCACTAAGCTGGCCAAAGTGCCACATCTATCCAAAACGCTTGACCATATCGACAACGATCTAGTGAAAGAAAAGAAAAAGATAAAAATCATGTCAATTATTATTCTTAATTATATTTCTACTTTGTCGTTCTTGTCATTGAGTCATGTTTCTCAGTACCAAGATGATTGTCCATGTTTTTCGATCCTCGTATGTAATTGGTGAAGTTCGTCTACAATAATATATTTCAATTGTTTAAATGAGGCTATTATGGAGCAATATGTGACGCCAAATCTTTTGTGATACTTTCATCGACAGCGATATGGTCTATGTCTATTCCTAGAACTCACATTGGGAAAGAGGTAGTGTAAGGCTTTTCGTAGGCTCCACTTTAAGGGACATGTGGTTAGACTTCTGTTGCCTGACCTACATCCAGAAAGATGTGACGTCAGTTCTTTTGTGCGCGTTCATCGACAGCAATGTGCTGTTAGTCCGTTTCCAAATACCACTTCGGGATAGATATGACATAAGGCTTTTCATGGCGTCTACATCGAGCAAGATGCAGTAATAGTCCCGTCCTAAGGCCCACATCCGCATAGGTTCGTTGTCAGTCGCTTCAGAAGGAGGGAGCTACGTGGACAATGATGAGGTGTACTTTACTTCGCAAGTCTACATCGGAAGAGATGTGCTCCGAATGTCTCTACAGGATTCACATGAAGCAATAGGTGTTGCCAGTCCTTTCGCCACATGTGCATCGAGAAAGATGTAGTGCAAGTCTTTTGACAACATCGTCGCAAGTGAGATGTGTTTTGAGTCCTGTCCCGAGACCTAAACGCGTAGAAAGGTGTTGGCAATCGCTTCGCAACACGTTCATAAACAACAAAGTGGTATGAAACAGTCCTCGAAGCCAGATTGAGGGAATATGGTATCCCTCCTTTCGGTAGGTCTACGTTCGGAGAGTCTTGGTTTAAGTGGCGTCGTGGCGCCTGCATCGATAATGATGTGGCATGAGTGCTTTCGCGACATCTACATTGACAACGATGTAATGAAAGCTATTGCGCAGAACTCACATCGAGAGAGATGATGTGGGTGCCCCTTTACGGATGCGGATCGGTAGAAAGTTGGTGTCAATTCTTTCGATGGATGCTGACCGAGGTACATGTTGTCTGATTCTCTTCGAGGCACCATTGGGGAGAAGAATCCGGTATGATAGATCTCGCGGCATCGGCGTCGAGCGATATGTTATATGAATCGTACGCCTGCTTTGAGATCCAAAGAGATGACTTGTATATGTTTGAGATTGGCAGTCGACATTTTAGTATTCAGAGGGATTATAGTAAAGAGAATAGTTTCTTTATTTTTTTTTGTAGTATCATTTTGTTCGTCAAGCTCATTTTGTTTCTGAAAATTCTTTTTCTTGATGTCAGGACATCAATTTGTTTTTTCGTCAATAATGTACTTTCGTGGGAACTCGTATGAGGCATCGTACATTGTGGGCCCTCCCTGTCGATCCTCTGAGGATTGTATGTGAGAAGCAATTAGGTTTATTGAGGATACTTTGGATATGAATTTCGTAATCGTTGGGTCGAGGTATTCTAGTTATAAATTTTGAGAATAGAGAACCGGAAAATAGCTTTAGAATTCATAGTAAATTAGGAATTCGTATGCTATTGAAATCCCCAGCCTAACAGAAGTCCTTTCGAAAAGAATTAATGGAGCATTCATTTTGCAAATAGAATCGTATTTAACTATGAGTGGACTGAAACCTAGTTGAATGATAAAAGAATAGAGTAGTGAATGTCTTATTTCTATGGTAGAATTCGTAAAGCAGATTTACAAGCCTTGATGCAGATGTCTTCTGAAGAGCATGTGTGTGCACGAGCTAATCTCTGTTATTCATCTGGTAAGGAATTTGGATAAACTTCTTTTCTGCTAAGAGAATAATTACAATGATACGATAATAATAAATTGCAAAGTTGGCACTATGACTTGAGGACATAGATATCAACATGTTACTAATAACGGCTCATGCTCAAAAGAGACACAATTTTTGTATAGACAAAGCACATACAAAAGCAAGCAGACATGCTTGAAAGCACTTAGTATAGATATCGTTCATTTTCATAAAGATTTAACTATTTATTGATTCTTTATATACCTAACTGCGTAGCTACTTAATATATATAGACATAGCTATTTAATATTTATTGGTAACCATTTATTTATTTTTGTATATTTGAAATTGTTGCGTTACTCAATCCTAAGTAGTATTTAAAAATTTCTAACGCTGTTGAACATATATACACAGCTATTTAATAAACGCTAAGCTACTCATTTGTTCTTACTGACTTGTTTCAAGCAAGGGCAAACAAAAAAAAAAAGAAAATTGCTCAATGAGTTATTCTTCAATCTATGAACATTCTTAAAAGCTGAGCATAGTTTTCAATATGACTCACAGCCGAAAGATATGCATTGTATGCTGAGTAGATTTCCATATTCAGGTAGAATGAATGGTGACGTGGTCAAACTAAATAGTTCAAATTATCAGCTGCTAGTGGCATGTAGATAGATTCAATTATTTATATTATTTAAAATTTGAGCTTATTTTTCTTGAATAAGTACGACATCTTAAGAATAAATACGATAATAATTTGGAACGTTTGATTTCAACTGCTTTTAACATAATGTAGAGCAATAAACTAAATACTAATACAAAAGTTGC